GTGGAAAGCTTTGCCACATGCTGGGCAACAGGAAGCACGTTTTGGGGCGGGTCCCCTGGGAGTCACTGGGACGGGTAAGTTGGTGATGCCCAGTGTGCAATGAAGGCCAGTCTCCACGTGCTGTAACAGGTGTGGCACTCAGTGCAACACACACAGGAGACTCACCCAAATACGTGATCTACCTCACTAAAGCGGAATGTAAGCAACAAGCTTTCCTCACAAGACTGGGGTTTAGGGAGTAGAAGCCAGCCATCCGAGACACTTCACAGGCTAGTTCAACATCCTGAGGCTTCCGCCCTGGAAAATGAGCACAGAGTCCCACGGACCCGCAGCACTTCCAACCAGGAAAGCAAGCGAAGGGCTTCTCGTCCCCGTATAGCCAGCAGAGTCTTGACTGACCTTCGGCGGCTCTGCCCCGTCCCGCCTGCAGCAGAGGACACCGACACCTGGAATAAATGTCACAGCCCAGGCGCCCTCACGGCTCCCCCAGACAGAGGCATGCTCACTTAGCGCAGGCTGCCTCCACCAGACCACCAAGCTCCCGGACCTTCCGGACCTCACTCTCCGATGGTACTCTCGAAAATACCGTTCATTCCTGACGTTCAACTTTCTCATCTCTACGAAGACTTGTTTTTTGGAGACAGAGAGCCCACTTGCCAGCTGTAGGACGCACGGCCCTGGTCCCTGGGCCACGAGGCGGGACACAGCTGCTGGCTCTGCCCCCTGGGGCAGGAACGCAAGGCCCGGGCCAAGTTCCAGCCCCGTGTGCAGCACCTTCTCTTCCTCCTTTTCATATTATTTCAAGCCTTGTTATCTGTAAGACGAAACTAAATCTCCCTTGCCCCCTACACAACACCACTTTTATCGTTGGTATTAACTTAGTCAAAACACACATTAATACTTCTGTAGAACAAAAAACATCACAGAGCGCCCGTTCAGAAAACAGCTCAGTAGAAAAGCTAGTACTTTTCTATTTTAAAACTTAAGTTCACAATCAGTAACATCGGCACAGATCGGCCAACACAGAGGAGGTGCCGGCTGACCTCCAGCTCTCTGCTCAGACTGACCAGCTTCACAGGGGCTTGATCTGCATCCTTCCCACAGAGGGTCACCCCAAATTAATTAGGCCTCAGAATAATTTCATCATCACCACATGCAACATCATATGTGAAGCAGTTCACATACCTCCTGAGTGAAAAGGGGTCAAATCTCGAAAAGAATGCCAATCTCCAGACTCCAGGAAATGGTTTTAACTTCCACTAAGAGGACACACAGGACAAGCAAGACTGACAGGTGTCACCCAGTTAAGAATGAGGCTCTTTCAGAGGCACTCTCCCTCATTTGGTCACTTGGGTTCCAGACACTTGATTTTCCACATTTTGCTCCGAGATGTCTCTGACCACACCCGGAAGAGGAAGCAGAAAGCCCTTTAATAGTATGGTAATTCCATTAGAAACAAATGTTTTAATATTATTAATCTGGCAGAAAAATAGGGAATTGTGCTCAATGAAGGTAACCAATTTGTCTCCACTTAGTACCAATCACACTATAATTTAACCAGGGAGAACCACAAAAACACACACCACTACCTTTTTTTTTTTACATAAAGCATCACTTTTCAAAGATATTTCCCCCAAACATCTATAGCTTCTGAGAGATTATGCTTTACAAATAAAATCAAAAGAAGAGTTCTCCCTTTCCTTTAGAAAATGTTTATGTTTAGGGACTCCTGGGTGGCTCAGTCCACGGCTCAGGTCATGATCCCAGCGTCCCGGGATCAAGTCCCACACTGAGCTCCCTGCTCAGCAGGGAGTCTGCTTCTCCCACTCCCTGCCGCACCCCTGCTTGTGCGCTCGCTCTCTCCGTCAGGTAAATAAATAAAATCTTAAAAAAAAAAAAAAAAAAAAAGGAAAATGTTTATGTTTAGAGTAACAGGTTTGCAAGTAGTTACTTTTTAAAATCCCAAATAGTTTTCATGAAGATGTTGGTAGTTCAGTTTTGAATGAAAAGGAAGGAAAAGCACCCAGAACGTCAGCTACACCAGAGACCTAGAAAATACTGCGCTCGAGAGCACACTGGACAGAACACCACACTGAGCCCCTCTGCCCTGCAAGGGTCAGCAGCCCCTTCTTACCACTGACACCTTACACACTAACAAACTCTCTAAACTGAAGTCCTTATAGTGCAGGAACGTGTAAGTTGCCATTAATTCAAGTTCTGCTTCCTTGATTACCAACCACATGCTAGACACAACTGAAGCCCTGGAGATGCAAGCTCAAGATACGGGCTCTGTCCTCAAGGGACAGACAGCACAGCCATTTAACTGCAGGCACCCACCACTCCTTGAGCCCTGAATGTGTTCTCACACACAGTGCTGGGGGCTTGGTGGAGAACACAACCAGCCTGTAGTCCGCCTGCTACCTTCTGGACCTCTCCATGCCAGCCAGCAGCCCTGGGTGCCCCTCCCAGGCCCCTTCTCTTTCTTCCTCCTCTCAGACCCTCAGTGACTCATCCAAAGCAGCTTCCCACACACTTCGACCTCGAGTCCAGGCCTACGCCCTGAGCTCCAGGCCCGTGGACCCAGAGCCTCCCTGGACATCATAACAAAGATGTCTAACAACAGTCAGCACATACAAAACCAAGAGCTCCCCCACTAAGACCCCCAAAGTCTTCCCCACAAGACATTCTCAGTTCAGGCCATAAACCTCAGCACCATCTTCAAGTTCTCCCTCTCCATGCCTCCCACCACCCCCATCACTTCCAGTCTGTACACAGTCCTGATGTCTCAACCCTCAAATACATCCAGAAGTCAACCTCCTCTCTCCACCCTGAGCCAAGCTTCCACGGCCTTTCATTGGCTTAGCAACAGCCTCCTAACTGGTCTCCTTGTTTCTGCCCTTGCCCCTCTGCAGGACATGCTGTATATCCTGGACAGAGCAGCCAGAACCAGTCCGGTAAACATCCGCCCAGTCATATTATTTCTCTACTCAAAACCTTCCAAAGACTCACCAACTCATTTAGAATAAACGCCCCAGTCCTCACTATGACCCAACCAGGCCCCATGACTGGGCCAAATTTGTCTCTCAGCCTTCAGCTTCTACTTCTCTCACCCCCACCTGCTGCATCCTGGCCACACTGGCCCACTTGCCCTTCCTCCTGCACTGCCTTTGGGTCTTGGTCAAAACTTACCTCTGTCTGCAGTGAGATTTTTTTCCCTGGCCATCCTGGCTATAATTCTAACTCCCTCTTGCTTGGCCCACATCACTCTCCCACATGAGCCACATGGTTTTGTCTATTTTGTTCACTTCTCTAGCCCCAGGGTCTAGAACAATGCCCAAGACAAACCTCTCATTCAATAACAAATGCAGTTTATTGAATGGATCACTATAAAAACAACGAGAAACTGCGTAAGACTTGGTCAAGAAAGGCAGGCTTTGTAAGGAGTCCAGGGATCAGAGGAGGCTGCACCATTAATCACCCCTAAAAAGATGTGCAGCATCGTGTCAGAAAAAAAATTCTCCACCACAGCCTCCAAAGATCATACGTATTTTTATCAGCATCAACAGCAGCCTTCAAATACAAACACTTTTTTCTACTTTGAAATACCCTTCAACTTTCACATGATGATTTTCACGTTCAAGGTAACATGACCAACACTGAATGTGTTTTTCCACCTTACCCAAGTCTCTCCTACAAAGTCTAAAATATCCGAGCAGCGATAACCTCAAAGAAAGTGGATAAACAGTTCTATTCCTTTCTCCACCCCATTTCCCCAGCAAACAGTAAAACACCCTCTCTGGTTTCTCTTTTTTAAACAAACTTCACAAAAAATAATCTGGTTAACGTGCTTCTTTGGGAGTTAGGACTACTGTTTGCTCCAGCCAGATGCCACAAGTCATTGAAACACTGGCCATACACGTCCGCATTCCAGCTTCCAAACTGAGATTTCGGTAAATTTAAGTTGCCCACCAAGAGAAGAAAGAAAAGGCAAACAAAGCCACCCAGAATGACAGGTGGAATTAAACCAGGTGGCGGTGGGGGAGAGGGGGGTGCTGAGGCCAATCACTCCCCACAAGGAATGAAAGGACTACAACTACCCTGGCACGAGAGAGCCCGTGTCAGAACACTTTAAGCCTACTGAACGAAGACCCAAAATAGTCTGCAAGCAAAAATTAAGGAATTGTCCCCTCTGGAACAGAAGCATGACGAGACAGGCCAGAACGCCACATGTGCACATATTCCCACGTGTACACGGACACACATGTACACATACGCCCTCCCACCCGCCACATACTTGGCATCACGACCCCAAGAAGTTAAGATACGACGAGATGAGTTCAGTTTCTCTCTTCAACCACGAAGAGGAAGCTTGCATGATCTACTGGTCCCTGAAACGCGCGTGCAGTGAGTGTTGGGAGCATGCTTCTCGCCTCCAGCCTCCCAATGCAACCTCCTAAGAGGTAGAGAGCTTCCACTCCTCAATGCTTGGGGCGTGGGGTGGGGGCAGGCACGGCACTCTGCGGCCCCCGGTTCTGGAGCCAGCTCCGCCCGGCGCCCCTCCCGCCCGTCTCGGACACCGCGCTGCCCCTGCTTGTCCGCGCCGGCTTTGGGCCTGTCGCCGGGCGCCCGGGCGCTGCGGGCGGGGCTGAAAAAGCGCCGAGACACGCAGACAGCCGACTGTCAGACCCGCGCCGGCCTTCCCACAGACGCCGTCCCCGCCCCGCTCGGCGCCAGCGCCGGCCCCGCCCCGCGGCCCCGCGCCCATCCCGCACCCACGCCGCGCTGGGCGAGACCCCGGTGGCCGAGGGGCCAGGAGGGCGTCGCCCGCGGGCCGCGCCGCGTCCGCTGAGGCCCTCACCTGCGTCCATCTTCCCTCTCCGCCCGCCGACTGAGAGCGGCGTCGCTCCGACGGTTCCGCAGCGCGACGCGACGGGCCGCTGCCGGGGCCAATCCGGGCCTAGAGGGCGAGGGCGCGGGCGGGGCCGGAAGTGCGAGAGGAAATGCACGTCCGCCATCTTGGCGTACGGTGGGGCCCAACGCCGGGGGCTGGGCCCGCGCGCTCGGCTCCCTGGCGGCCTGCACCGTGCGCTCCGAGGACCCCGACAGCGACCCGTGGGAGTAGCGGAAGCAGACGCGGAGGAGCGGCGGAGTCCCGGGGGGGGCATGTTAATCCGCCGTTCGGCCGGGCCGCCGGCGCGGCCATCTTGCCGTACGGACGGCCCGGCGCGCCATGCCGCCGTACGGGGCCGCCGGCCCAGAGCGCCCCCGCCCACCCCCGACGCCGCGAGCCGCGGGCTGCGCCCCGCCGGGTATTGGGGAACCCGGGGAAGCCGAGGCCCGGCCGGGCGGCCGGGCGGCGGGGCGGCGGGGCGTGCGCCGCCATCTTGCCGTACGGGAGCCGCGGGGGCCGGCTCCCACGTCCCGCAGCCGTGTCGCCGCGCGCCCTCCCCTCGGGGCGGTCCCGCTCGCGGCGCGGCGAGGCGAGGGCCGGAGCCTGGCGGCGGCGCGGCGGCCTGAGGCCCGAGATGGTGATCTGCTGCGCGGCCGCGAACTGCTCCAACCGGCAGGGCAAGGGGGAGAAGCGCGCCGTCTCCTTCCACAGGTAACCCGGCTCCGCCCGCCGCCGCCCGGCCCGCCGCCCGCGCGGCTCTGCCGGCCACGCCCCCGCCCGGCCCGGCCCGGCCCGGCCCGGCCCGGCACGGCGGGGAAACTGAGGCCGCGCGGCCCGGCCCGAGGCGGGAGGCCCTCGGCGCGCCTGGCCTCGGGGCCGGTCCCGCGAGTGAGTCAGCGCCGGGCGCTGTGTGACCTTGGCCCGGGCCGCCGTCTCTGGACCGGGCGTCGCGGGCCACCGCGGCCGGCTGCGCGCCCCCCCCCCCCCACCGCGGCCCCGCGCCTCTCGTCCTTCCGCCACCCGGCGCCCACCCCACGCCGACTTGGAGGCCACCCGGAGGCCATCCCACGGCCACCACCGCCCTCTCCCCCCCCACCCCACTCCGCGGCCACCCTGGGCTCCATTGATTCGGGCTGGCACCGCCAATTTCCAGACAGTGTGTTCTGGAAACGCTCTTGGGTCAGTTGTCCTCTTGCATTTGCTGTGACTTTTTTGCTCTTTTGATCGCAAGGGAGCCTGCCTTGATCTGTGCGGCTGAGTAAATGCAAGTTGTGCCTCGAGGACTGACACGCGCTCCCGCACGCGGGGAGAGGTGGCCCTGCTGCGCGGCGGGGCGTCCCTGGACAGGCGGCCTCGCAGCATCCTGCGCTGGAGCAGGACGAGGCCGGCTCTGCAGCCGGAGGCTCGCCCTGCGACTCGCGGACGGGGCCCTGTTCGCCGCTTCTTGCTTGGACGCGGAGGCAGGGACAGGGCTCTGCCTTCTCGCTGGCCTGGCTCCCTTCCTGAGGGCTTCTGGAATTCAGCCTGATTCAGCGAGTCCTCTTCTGCCGGCTGGCTCCCTGGAAAGCCTCCTCGCAGATACTTCTGTTTTAGGGTACAGGGAGTTAGGTTTTAGAGACTCCAGTGGTATTTGCTACTGGTAGTTTTACTGGAAGTTCGCAGTGGTTTGTTCTCTTAAACTGTTACAATCTGTCAAAAGAACTGGCAATACATTGTGTTAGAAGCCAGCCACCATGCTTCCTTGAGAGTTTCCTTCAGAGCCTGTGTCCAGAAAGTTTTGATACTGCTTTCAAAAACCGGGCAAAGCACTGCAGAGAAGGCTGCCCTTGGCCTTCACAATGGTCTTTGCTGGTATGGGGCAAAGGATGTGGGAATTGGGGACTTCGGGAAATGGGTTCACAAAGCATTGAGGAAGTGTAGAAGGTCGTGTTGCACAGAACTTCCTGGGGAGTTAGTATCCGTCTTGGTCCTGGTTCTGGTCCACAGTGGCCACAGGTGGGTTAGATGACCTCAGGTGGAGGAGATAGCCCTCCAGAATAACCACCCCGCCCCTGGGTAGAGTTCCCTCCCAGTTTTCTAAATAGAGATCTTGTTTAAAAGAGAAGAAATAATTACTAAGTATCTTATTCAGTATATTCCGGGAGCTGGTTGCTTTTTAAAAAGCAGTTTTGCAAAAAAAAAAAAAAAAAAAAAAAAAAAAAAAAAAAAAAAAAAAAAAAAGCAGTTTTGCTCCTGGCAGTGGGACTGTTGAGTCTGACCTCGTCTTAGAGTCTGTCTCGCATCCTCAGCTGCTTGAGTCACAGCTCAGGCTGGGCTCAGGCACCGTCTGGGATGCTCTTCTGGCTTTTTGCTCCCCTCTCTGCTGGCCAGCGCCAGACCTGGCTTCTGAGCAGGGAGGGGAGCCAACCACCCCTGTTTTAGCACCCAGCCTGCATCCGAGGCACACCAGGAGGGTTGTTCAGCTGTGTGATTCTAGCAACTATTTCCAAGGCTTCCTGAAGCCTTTCCTGTTGTTGGATGCCATCCTGTGCAATCTCTCCTACAGGGCATTTACCACAGCCTGGGAGGAGTTACCTTCATTCTCTATTTGCCCTACCAGTTGTAAGCGCCTTAAGGGTAGGCAATGAGCCCATTATCTTTCTATCTCGTGATTACTTCCACATGGAAGGTGTTCCTTAAATTTTTACTAAAATTTTAAATGGGTAGAGTCAATACAGGATTGGGTATTTGCAGAAACACTTGTTTTGCCTTATTATAGTTGATAAATTTGGGAGGAGACACGTAGTTACTTCTTTCTAATTCTGTTGTCATTTTTCCTGCAGGTTCCCCCTAAAAGACTCAAAACGTCTGATCCAGTGGTTAAAAGCTGTTCAGAGGGATAACTGGACCCCCACTAAGTATTCTTTCCTCTGTAGTGAACATTTCACCAAAGACAGCTTCTCCAAAAGGCTGGAGGATCAGCATCGTCTGCTCAAGCCCACGGCGGTGCCCTCCATCTTCCACCTGCCCGAGAAGAAGAGGGGCACTGGAGGTCATGGCCGCACGAGGAGAAAGGTCACCAGAAAGGCCTCGGGGGGCCTGAGGGGACACGCGAGCGGGGCGGACGGGAAAGGAGCTACAGGTTCATCATCGTCCTTGGGTGAAAACCTGATGGCCAAGCCAGGGTCCCGGAAGGTGAAGCAGGCTGCACTGCAGAATGAAACTGCGCCCAGGGCCTCCCAAGAAGCCACCAGTCCGGAGCGCACGTTGCAGGCCCCGGAAGGAACTGCAGGCGATGGTCTGGCCACGGCTGCGGCGAGCAGCCAGGGAGCAGCTGTGGATGCTGGTGGTGAGAGCACCGCCCCCGACCACGGTGACCTGGTGGATAAGAGCGGCATTTCCATGGATGACTTTACCCCGCCAGGGTCTGGGGCTTGCAAGTTTATTGGCTCACTTCATTCTTACAGTTTCTCTTCCAAGCACACTCGAGAGAGGGCATCTGTCCCCCGAGAGCCTGTTGACCGAAAGAGGCTGAAGAGAGACGTGGAGCCCGGCTGCAGCGGGACCAGCCTGGGGCCCGACAAGGGCTTGGCCCAGAGCCCCCCAAGTTCATCACTCACAGCCACGCCTCAGAAGCCCTCCCAGAGCCCCTCTGCCCCTCCGGCAGACGTCACCCCGAAGCCCGCGGCCGAAGCCGTGCAGAGTGAGCGCAGCGACGCCAGCCCCATGTCCATCAACGAGGTCATCCTGTCAGCGTCGGGGGCCTGCAAACTCATCGATTCGCTGCACTCCTACTGCTTCTCCTCCCGACAGAACAAGAGTCAGGTGTGCTGCCTGCGGGAGCAGGTGGAAAAGAAGAACGGCGAGCTGAAGACCCTGCGGCAGAGGGTCAGCCGCTCCGACAGCCAGGTGCGCAAGCTGCAGGAGAAGCTGGACGAGCTGAGGAGAGTGAGCTTCCCCTACCTGAGCGGCCTGCTGCCCTTCAGCCGCGGTCAGTACCAGAGCCTCGCGCTCCCACACTGCCTGGTCGTTGGGACGGGTTTCGTGCTGCGTGGCTGACAGTCCCTGAGCGTCTGTGTGTGTCGAGAGCGCCCAGCTGTCTCGGGAGGAGGCTCTAAAAGTAGCTGTACTTTGTAGTGAGGGAGCCTCGCTTGGAAGCTTACTTCGCTCCGGGGCGCTCGAGGGGCATTTGTAGCTGTGAGAGTTTAGCCCAGGAGAAGGGAGGCATTTCACGTCCGCTGGGAGAGCCACGACTACTCACTGCGTGGTCTCCCACCGAAACGGGAGAGGCCGCTTCCGCTGCACGCCTCACACAAACCTCACTTCCAGCTGAGTTAACGGCTCGCTGCAGAATGAAGTAGGCACAGTAAACTATTAGAAAAATGGTAGGAGACTCTGAAAATCACGGGGAGTTTCTTTCCATTTGTGTTTTAGTGAATATCCTTGAGGTTATGCCATTTTGAACATTAATAATTTCTTTAAAATTTTAAGCATCTCTTTAAGTAGAATATATTCTTTTTTTTTTTTAAAGGTTTATTTAATTGTCAGAGTGAGAGAGCGAGCACAAGCAGGGGGAGCAGCAAGCAGAGGGTAGGCTCTCCACTGAGCAGGGAGCCTGACGTGGGGCTCGATCCCAGGGCTCTGGGATCATGACCTGAGCCGAAGGTAGACGGACGCCCAACCGACTGAGCCACCCAGGCGTCCCGAATATATTCGTTTTGTAAAACTTAAAGTACTACAGGAATATATGGGCTAAGAAGTGGTGAGAGTTCCCTTTTCTCACCTCCCACCTTTTAGTCCTTGTTAAAACTTCTTGTGTAATCTTTTAGATTATTTTCTATGCTTTTATGTACATGTCTTTGTACCTGTACTGATGGGTTGGATATATATTTTATATGTTTATTGGCTCTGTTTATGCTTTTCGTCTTACTAGTGCTTGTAAAAATTGCTTTCAAGTTATTCTTTGCATTTTGAGTATAGTATTTTTTACCTGCTGTGTATCGTGGAAGATGTTTTCCTGCTTATTGTTCATTTAATCTGGATCAATATTTGTCTTTCTGGACATAATGAACACTTCGTGGGGAGGCTCTCAGTGTGACAGGCTGTTTAGGACCTCCTGGACCCCAGGGCAACAACCATCAGCACAACCAAAAACAAAAGCAGAAAAACAGACCCACCCTGTGCATTTCCAAATGCACACTGGGGGAAGAACAGCTCCAGTTGAGGACCACCGATGTACTGGTCTGCTATCATTTTAAAGCGGTTTTTGTAGTTTCTCGTAGCTGGTACTACTTTGGTACCTTTTTCTGTTCTCGGTCAGACTTCCCCAAGTCTGTCACAATTACAGGTCTTTTCAAACTAAGCCTTCGCTCCATCGAGCAAGGCTGCTTTGCTGTTTCCACTTCATTAATCCTCACTTCTTTCTACTTTTCTTCGGTTTTATTTTGTTGTTCTGGCTCCTGGAAGGAAGCGCTTAGCTTCTGCATGTGTAGTTTATATTTCCTGATACGTACTCTTGAAGGTGTTTCGCTTCTTCCATCCCGTTGGTCCCCCCGAGGATTTATCTCGTGCTCCTCTCATTGCTGTTCATTTCTGAATAGTTAGTTCAGTCTTTATTCCCTCTTTAACTGATTTAGAAGGGCTTGGAAGTTTTTCAAGTGGATGGGTTGAGGCAGGGGAGCTAATTTTTTGATTTTTTTTTTGACAGGTTCAAATATGCTATTAAGTTTTTTTTTTAAGTTCCAACGTAATTAACGTGCAGTGTTGTATTAGTTTCAGGTGTACAATCGTAGACAGGACTCTGCTCATCAAGAGAAGTGTGCTCTAATCCCCTTCACTTGTTTCACCCGTGTGTTTTTTCCCCCTCTCTTTTTTGTGATGATTTTTAAACTTTATTGTTTCAAGGTCCAGTGATTTGGTCACATAAAGATAGCTACTTTGGGGGCTCTTTTTTGGGATTTCATTGTGGTTTAGATTGGCTTGTTTTTGTGACTGTTTCATTGTGGTTTGAGAAGAATGTATCAGCCCCAGTAGTTGGTTACATTGTTCTCTGTCTCACTGAGCCTGAGTCTGGCTTGTGAGTCAACAGATCTGCGCCCTGACTTCCTGAATCCCTCGATCCCTGCGAGAGAGCGCAGAGGTGCCCGGTTCTGCTGGATGTCTCCCCACCCTGTGTCAGATGCTCAGGTGTTCCTGACGGTTGTCAACATGGAGCACCCCTTCTTTGCCCCAGTTTAAGTGTTACTTCTCTATCTCCTTATTTTTCAAACTTTTTTATATCCCTTTATTTTTTTTAGCTACATTTTAACTCAATCTGTGGGTCTTCATTTTTTATAGAGCAATTGAATCCATTTACTTGTGATTATTAATAAGTTGGAATCTGTGCCTGTTTCATTTTTTAATTTGTTAGGTTTTCTCGTTTCTTTTTCTGCTCTTCTAGTGGATGTCTTTTGGCTTTTAACAATAATCATTGAAGCTCATCTCTGTGTAACACTTCAGAGCTGATCTGCTGCTGTGCTCCACGCTCCCGGCTCCTCCCCTCTGCTCCCCTGGCCAGGACTGTCTGTGATCTTGGTTCTCTATTCCCAGCTTTCCCATCACAGCCATAATTAGATGTAAGTACACATCTGATCAGTTACTTCACTCACCACCATTTTTTGTATTCAAATGTTTCTTCCTTTCAGGGAATATTTAATGATATTTTTGGAACTCCTAGCACAGTAAAATTTTGAGAGGCATTGAGTTTGAGACGCTCCTTAGGTGCTGATGCCCGAGAGCCAGCACCTATCCTCTTAAAGTTTCGTGTGTTTGTCTGCAGTGTCGGGATGAGGTCAGGGGCATTTAAAGCCATGGGACTGAACAGGGTTTCCTGGAGAAGCTATAGCTGGGGAAGGGGCTGGGGCCCAGCCTAGGAGCAAGCCGTGTTTGTGGAGGGCAGTGGAAGAGGGCCCAGGAGAGGAGAGTGAAAGAAGGGAGTGTGGGGTCATGTCGGTCTGGAGGGGAAATGAGGGTTGCTCAGCCGCGTTCAGCCACGTTGGATCAAGCTCTGATCAGAATGGAGAAAAGACGGCTGGACTCAGCCACATGGGGTCACTGGTGATCACGCTCTCCCTGGAGCAGTGGGAATGCTGCTGGGTCCAGAGGGTGAAGGTGGGGCTGGGGTGAGGCATTTGAAGAGGTTTAGCCATGGAGGAGTGGACAGTAACTGAAGGGGAACATGGCTCCAGGGGGGAGTTTTATTTGTGGAGATAAGCAAGCAGCTGTCTGTGCTGCTGGTGGGCGGGATGGAGAGGAGGAGTGCCGAGGGCCAGGAAGGAGTGTGCTGGGGCCCTGGGGGGGTGCCTGGCGAGGGGCTGGAGGTGTACCTGCACCTGTGCTCCCTGGAGGATGAGGCTGGTCGCTGGTGTGGAGTGGAGGGGAGGGTGCAAGGGGTGTTAGGGAGTGGCGGGGGAGGGAGGGCGGCTTCCCTGGCATGGTCTCCGAGGGCTGCCTGGAGCCCCTGATTCAAAATGTCTTCCATCTTAAGGGTTCCCAGTGGTATCGTGAATTTGTTAGTCAGTGAAGGAAACTTTAGGGATCTTATGTCAAAGGAGCTACCCATGTGTTTATTCAGTCCATTATCTTTAGCCCGTCCTTTATTTCTGGACAGATTCTGTACAACAGGGCAGCTGGGCCAGGGGCCTACAGGTTCCGGGTGCAGAGTTTTGCCCTCCAGAAAGCTGGTGCTGATTGGCCTTCTCACAGCGTGCTCACAGGGAGGAGTTCCACCCTCTTCCTGCCATGGTTTATTTACATGCTGCCTGACCACCCATGCTGGCCCACCTGTTAGCCCAGGGGTGCACTCCCTCAAGTTGGGAACCAACATGGATACATGGTTACTAACGAAGACCTTCGTGCATATTTCAGTGTACTGTCTTGCACTTGGATTTTGATAAATGGGTAACCTCAGTATCCTACCACTGCCCTAAAAATCCCTGTGCTCCATGTGGTCCCCTCCTCCCTTCCAAGCCCTGGCACCACTGGTCTTTTTAGTGTTTCTGTCATTTTGCCTTTTCCAGAATGTCCTGTAGGTGGATCTATAGAATATATTGGAATATATGGATCCTATGGAATAGATACACAGCTCTTTCAGATTGGCTTCTTTCACTTAAGCAATATGTATATATTTAAGGTTCCTGTCTGTCTTTTTGTGGCTTGATGGCTCATTGTTTTACCTTTTTTTTTTTTACACTTAGTTAAAATATACAGAACAAAAAAAAACCTTACCATTGTAACCATTTTTAGTTGTAGAGTTCAGTGGTATTAAATACATTCAGATGTTTGTGCAGCTATTACCACTTTCCATCCCCATAACTCTGGTTAGTCTGAAACTCGATACCTATTAAATGGTAACTCTCCTGTCTCCCTTCCCCTCAACCCTTGGCAGTCACCATTCTACTTTTTTTGCTGTGAGCTCGACGCCTCCGAGTGGCTTGTGTAAGAGGAATAATACTTGTATTTGTCCTTTTGTCACTGGCTTATTGCACTTAATATAATGTCCTTAAGTTGTAGTTTGTCACAGAACTTGCGTCCTCTTTAAGGCTGAATCAGCTTATTCCGTCATGTGAATGGACTACATCTTGCTCATCCATTCATGGGTTGTGTCCACATCTTCATCATCATGAGTAATGCTGCTGTGAACAAATCTCTCTCCGAGACCTTACTTTCAGTTGTTCTGAGTATATACCCAGAAGTGGAATTGTTGGATCATGTGGTAGTTCTGTGTTTAATTCCTTTGAGGACTCCTGTGCTGTTTTCCACACTGACTGCACCATCTTAACGTTCCCGACAGTCGCACATGGGCTCCATCTGCATCCTCAGCAACACTGGCTGTTTCCTGTTCGCTTGATCCCAGCCATCCCTGTGGGTTCTGATCAGCACTTCCCTAATGATCAGTGATGTTGAACATCTTTTCATGCGCTTATTGGCCATTTGTGTGTCTTTGGAGAAAAGTCTCGATTATCCGTTGAGTTGGGTTTGTCCTGTTCCCATTGCTGAGTTTTAGGACTTCTCTGTCTGCTATGGACATCAATCTCTGATCAGAAACAGGATGTGTAAATATTTCTCCCATTCTGTGGGGTACCCTTTTATTCTGTGGGTAGTGCCTTTTGATGTACAAATTTTTTAAATTTTCATGAAGTCAAATTTGTCTGTTTTTTCCTTGTATTACCTGTGCCCATAGTATATCTTATCCGCGAAATCATTGCCGAGTCAGTGGCCGTGAAGCTTTTGTGCTGTTTTCTTCTAAGAGTTGTAGTGTTTGAGGTCTTACAGTTAGGTTCTTGATCTATTTTGAATAAATTTTTAAAGGTGTTACATAAGGATCCAACTTTATTCCTTTGCAGGTGGATATCCAGTTTTCCCAGCACCGTATGTTTGAAAACATTGTCCTTTCTCCATTGAATGAATGGTCATGGCTCCCTTGTCAAAAACCAGTTGACCGTATACATACAAGGGTTTATTTCTGGGCTCTCGATAATCTGTTCCATTGTTTTATATCTGTCTTTATGCCAACACCACACTGTTTTTATTACCGTAGCTTTGTAGTGAGTTGTAAAATCTGGAAGTGTGAGTCATCTAATTTTGTTCTTCAGGATCATTTTGGCTATTCTGGGGCTCTTGAGATTCCACATGAATTTTTATTTATTTATTTATTTACTTATTTATTTATTTATTTATTTATAAAGATTTTTACTTATTTATTTGACAGAGACACAGCGAGAGAGGGAACACAAGCACGGGGAGCGGGAGAGGGGAAAGGCCTCCCGCTGAGCAGGGAGCCCAACGTGGGGCTCGATCCCAGGACCCTGGGATCATGACCCGAGCCGAAGGCAGACGCTCAGCGACTGAGCCACCCAGGCGCCCCTCCACGTGAATTTTAAAATGGGTTTTTCTATTTCTACAAGCAACATTATTGGGGTTTTGATAGGGATTGCATTAAATCTGTAAATTGCTTTGGGTATTGTCAACACTTTAACAATATTAAGCCTTGATAAACATAGGATTTGTTCCCATTTATTTATGTTTCTCCGGATGTCCAGTTGTTCCAGCACCGTTTGTCGAGAAGACTATCTTTTCTCCACCGAGTTGCCTTTGCCCCTTTGTTAAAAATCAGGTGCAGGAATTAGTGTGGATCTATTTCTGGACTCTCTGCGTGTGGTGTTGATCTGTGTAGCTACTGTTCCATCAGCACCATGCTGTAGTGATTATTGTAGCTTGTAGCTTTTACTAAGTTTTGAAATATAGGGGATTGTGAGTTTTCCAACTTTATTCTTTTCCGTGAATGTTGTGTTGGCTGTTCTGGGTCTTTTGCCTCTCCATATAAACTTTAGAATCAGCTGGTTGATTTCCAGGAAATGGCTTGTTGGGATTTTGACATTGCGATTGTGTTGAATCTATAGATCAACTTGGGAAGAATTGACATCTTAACAGTATTGAATCTTTGGTGCATCAACATGGAATATCTATCCATTTATTTAGATCTTTTATTTTCTTCAGAGTTTCATACTCCAGTTGTTTCTTGCTGGTGTATAAGAGAACAATTGACTTTCGTTTGTTAACCTTGTATTCTGCAACCTTGCTGTCATTGCTAATCAATTCCAGGTTTTTTATCAATTCTCTGGGATTTTCTACATGGATAGTCATGTCATCTGCAAACAAAGATGGTTTTATTTTTTCTGTCCCAACTTGTATACCTTTTATTTCCTTTTTTATTACATCAAGTAGGATTTCCAGCTCATTGTTGACTATGAATGGTGCGGATCTTAGTAGGAGAGCTTTTGAGTTTCTCACTATTGAGTATGATGTTAGCTGTAAGGTTTTATCAGTGATGTTCTTTATTAAGTTAGGAAGTTTCCCTTTATTCCTAGTTTATCAAGAGTTTTTATCAGGTATGGGTATTGGATTTTGTTAAACACTCTGTCTGCATCTATTGAGGTCATTATGTGGTGTTTTTTCTTCTAGCCTTTTGGTGTGGTGAGTTACATTAATTAATTAATTACATTAATGGATTGTGGAGTGCTGAACCAGCCTTGCATACCTGGAATAAACCCACAGCCCTGGTGTATAATTCACTTTCTTACATTTTTGGATTCAATTTGCTAAATGCTTGTTAAGGATTTTTGCATCTATGTTCATGAGAGATATTTGTCTGTAGTTTCCTTTCTTGTTATATCTTTGTCTGGTTTTGGTGTTAGGGTACGACACATCTCATAGAATGAGTTAGGAAATATTCTCTCTGCTTCTATCTTCTACGAGAAATTATAGAGAATTGGTATAACTTCTTCCTTAATTCTTTTTTTTTTTTTAATATTTTATTTGTTTATTTGACAGAGAG